CGAGAATCCACTACACCGTGAAAAAAATTCAAGAACTTCACTGCGCTTGTGCAACGACCTCATCCGGATGTTTTATAGCTCACGGAAGATTCTTCGCATGACACCAGGCTTCAAATGAGCAATTATAAGTTTGTAAATGCGTACGAATTACGATATTTAATGTGGAAAATGGTTTATACTCTTACAAAAAATAAGATTTGTGTACGAATTACGAAAGAATAGAATAGCTGATTACGTTTTACACCTTGTTCATGGCTACGAAATTACGTTTTTTATTTATTTAAATTACATTATCACGAAAATACAAACAATTGATTACAGCTTACGAAATTACCCCTTGCCGACCATCATATCACATGATTCGCAACAACGGGTTGTAAATATGTTCCATAATGTTAGTAACTCGGTGCCCGGTACAACATGTCCAATTGAGACGAGTCGTAGCAGTGTGTGTGTGTGCGACCATGAGGGCACAGTTTGCAGTTGAGACGGAGTCAGATTTGTTTACATTGAAACATCCTGGTAGTCATAGACTCTCTCCAACTATGTGTAAAACTTATAACCAATGAGAAGACAGAATTCAATTACATGACGCAATATTTACCAATAAACACTTATGTGGTATAAACACAATATTTCTATATGAAATATAATAATAATTTGTAGTACTCAAGAATGGACAAAAACTAATCATGTAGTTTGGATATTAAAAACTATGACAGAATCTCAATTGCATTTTGGGGAGGTATATAAACATCACAATAGAGGATATCTTTATCAAAGCCAAACAATTCTTTCTGGAAAAAGAAAAATAAGCAATCATGTAGGTCAGTTTTGATACATTTTACATGGTGAATCAAATTATTTCTAACTAGTGTTAAGACACCTCCAGAAAATCGACAAAATACTGACCTTCGCGGTCTAATACGATTGTACACTTTAAACCCATGAAAAAAATCAGAAAACTGATCGACAGATTCAGCCCAGGTTTCTGTTAAAGAAATAACATCATATGATAGTAGAAAGTTTATGAATTCGGGGGACTGAAGTTTATATTTTAATCCTATGATATTCCAAGAAATAAAGTTTATTTTTTTCGGGCCTTGGCCGGATTCTTATTCGGCAATATTTGTCGACCAGCACATTTTCTCATGAAAAAAATGACTCCTGTATATCAGCATCGTCATCTAGATATATATACGTTTGATTATTTCGTCCAGCTTTTCGTTTATTACGGCACAG